ATGCTGCCATAAACACAAAATACCACAACCCCAAACACAAAAGTAGACACACACTGCCTTTGATGTCCAGCATCTTAAATCACTACTTTTTCATATTGCCACATATGGTCATTCACTTCTCGGCACTGGCCACTTCAAAGCTAAGTAAGATACCTTTTACAAAGCATGTCCACCAACCTCCACATGATTATCCAAAGTCTTATTCAGCCAGTAAAACAACACCAAGACATGGCATCATCTTACACAACTGTCATGAGTGGTAGAGAGGTGCTACAAAATGGCAGGTTTATGTGACATAATTACAAGGTACTCATATTAGCAAACAGTTAACAAACTGCTGAGATTAAAACATATGTTTTCCACTGAAGCATTCAAACATGAAGATGCTGCTGGGAGTCTTCTGGTAAATGCACCATATATAGATGTAGTAAACAAAGCTTTTCTTCATTATTAAAACAAAATGTATTGTAGTAGACAGTAGCAAACAGTGGCTGCGCTCACATGAGCCAAGGTTTCTCTCTTCAAATTAAATTAATCCTGTGAAGCCACATACAGTCCATGAGCACTGGAAACGGCTGCAGAGCAGACGGTGACACGGGTGGAAACTTTTCTTCCCATCTTGCCTGGTGACTGTTTATCACCTGTGCCAACATCCTCCCATAACTTTACTCCCAATCTCAATTCAATCCAATACACAGTGGCTTCAGACAGTATTCTGACCCTCTGCTGTGGTTCTTCACATTGTGATCAGGTGGATACCAATTGCCTTAGAAGCTGACTGGAGCCCACCTGTGGCTAAATGAATTGACTGGAGAGTTCAGAAAGGCACACACCTGTGTATATGAGGTCCCACAGTTCACACTGCATGTCAGGAACTCTCTGCAGACCTCTGACCAAAAGATGCTTTCAGTCCAAACAGTTCTAGGGACTTACTTCCAGGGACTACCCCACTGAGCAGCTCCCCAAAGAACTGCATTTTTTCTGTTTGCATTTCCACCGCCAGTAGGAAAGCTGAAGTGGCTATCACTAAGCTGGCCGAGCATTAGCGATTAGCCAACAAGCTCACATCATTAAAGAAATTATCAGTAAATAATCAGTAAATAAACTGTGGTGAAGCAAAGAAAAGGACAAGGGTTTACATCTATTATAAACCTCTGAGTGTTCCCAGGAGCACAGAGGCCTCAATAACTGAAATAGAAGATGTTTGGAACCACCAGGACTTCCTAGAGGTGGCCGCCTGACCAAACTGAGTAACCAGGCAAGGAGGGCCTTAATCAGAGAGGTGAGCAAGAGCCCAACAGTCCCTCTAACAGAGCTTCAGAAGTCCTCTGCAGAGAAGAAGAACCTGACTTAAGGACAGTCATCTCAGCAGCTCTCCATCACTCAGGCCTCTACATAGAGTGGCTGGACACCAGTCACTGTGAGTAAGAGGCAGATGACAGCTGCTTGGAGTTTGTCAAACAACACAAAGAGCTGGAAGACTGGAGCACCACAATGACCCGAAACACTGGAGTGGCTTCAGGACAAGTCTCCGAGTGGCCCAGACCTCAACACATCCAGCATATAAAATGTCAGATAATAATGTAATGTATAATGCGTTCCCAATTTATATCTCCTTCCAGCATTTCTGCAGATTGTAGAGATTATTCACTTGAAGTCAGATTTGACTCCTGAGTTCATAAAGGCTCTGAGCCACCTATTTACTCCACTGAATTTCTCACAACTGCTCCTGCTGTTGTAAAATTGTGTGGGAAGGGGGAACTTAGTGGGCACTCCCCATGATGCAATCTCTTGGAAACCTCACTTAACCTATGATGGTTTCCCAGAGGAAAACACCCAGAGGAAGAGAGACACTGCAGATGATGAACCTAAAGTGAACGAGTGGTCAATCTCTGCTTGGTAATGTCTTTTCCTTACAATACATGTAACTCAAGTGGATATTTAAAAAGGCTATAAATCTTTCAAAAAATAAGGAAAATAATTACCAGGACAAATTATCATCTGTCAAACGGACTGTAATAGGATTATACCGTAAATCCCTTTTTAAAATGAGATGAATTTCCTTCCCAAATGGACCAGTTGATTGTGTTTTAATGTGTTTACATAATGCATATTTAATCTGATTGGGATGTCAATTGCACATTAAATAAAAGGCTTCATGTAAAACTAATCTGGAAATTGTTTCATGTTGAACCAAAATCATTTGAGAATTCACATTTTATTTTGTCATATATTTTTCAAAATTAAGGTAAATGCATAAGGATGGAGAATGAAAACATGTCTCAAACTAACTGTGACAGCCAGATACATGTCACCATATTACTCTTTGGATTTTTATATGTACACAAACAAGTTACAAATGAGTTAAAATGATAAACAGGCAGGTAGGAAGCGCTGTGCCATATCATACTGTCCACAATATACCTGCTAATTGTTCCCCTAGATAAGAAGGTATCATCTTGCAATACTGACGATATGCATCAAAGTAACTACACACCATAACACAAAGTCCTGCACTGGGTCGGGTACCTGCAAAAAACTATGTGTAGCGGGTTAAAAAAAGTTTCTATTAATTCACGGGTACAGGCACAGGTAAAACAAAAAAGAGTAAATGCGGTCGGGTAGTGAGTTAAATAAACATATTTTAAACTAAAAATAAATAAATAGATAAATAAAGGTGCAGCTTCTTTTAAACATCTAATCCAGCAGAATTTTATCAATCTTAAATGACTGGTACATTTATTGTGAAGGCTGATGGCACAACCTTTGACCCCTCACATCCAGCTAACAGGACATTACTCAGACATCAACGTAGGTGTCAGTGTGTCAAACTGGATAGCCCAAAAGTGAAAATGGCCAGTGCTGGATACACAGTTGTGGATAAATACATGTTAACAGGTTGGGTCCAGCTCTGATTTAGATATACCTCAGGGTAATGGGTCGTGTCTGACACGGAGTTCTGCAGGCGCCGGTTTTCAAAACTGCACCCGTGCAGGACGCTGCTACAAACAGAACAAGTATGTATGTAACTCGTGGTTCCTATTGTGCTTGGAGAGTACCTACCCTGAAGCAGGAGCTAAAGAAGTCCCTAAAAATGGGGTTCTAAGAACTGTTATTGCTCTCAGTTCCTGCAGTGCAGACACACAAAGAGAGGGTATTTTTCCAACAGGTCTATGAAATGTGAAAAAGTTTCTCTGGTCCAAAAGCACCTAAAACTGTGGTGAAGCAAAGAAAAGGACAAGGGTTTACATCTATTATAAACCTCTGAGTGTTCCCAGGAGCACAGAGGCCTCAATAACTGAAATAGAAGATGTTTGGAACCACCAGGACTTCCTAGAGGTGGCCGCCTGACCAAACTGAGTAACCAGGCAAGGAGGGCCTTAATCAGAGAGGTGAGCAAGAGCCCAACAGTCCCTCTAACAGAGCTTCAGAAGTCCTCGGCAGAGAAGAAGAAGCTGACTTAAGGACAGCCATCTCAGCAGCTCTCCATCAAACAGAACACGCATGTCAGACGAGCTTCCTCTGTTGTTTGTTTAGCTACAAGAGATTAGATGTGAATGAAAGTTATGACGGTTGTGTCCAAAGCATGTACAAAGAGTGGAAACACATCGAAATGATTCTACCACCTCAAGCAAAAACACCGGCCAGTGTTTGATTGTTTGTTGTTGAGGTGTTTGTTGTGTCTTGTTGCTTTTCTTTTCTTTTCTCCCTCCTCTATCCACTCACCCCAACCGGTCGAGGCAGAAGGCCGACCACCAAGAGCCGGGGTCTGTCCGAGGTTTCTTCCGTTAAAGGGAGTTTTTCCTCCCTGTTGTGGCCAAGTGCTGCTCAAGGGGATTTGTTGGGTTTTTCCTCTATAATAATAATAATAATAATAATAGTAGTAAGAGTCTAGACCTGACTTTGAAAAGTGTCCAGACATGACTTTTGTTGTGACTTGGTGCTATACAAATAAAATTGAATACAAGGAAAGCCAGAAGTTGTATGAGGAAAACACATCAGATGACCGACTGACAATAAGCATGCAAACTTCTTTAGCTTGGTATGTTTGATAGTGGTAAAAGAAGTAAAAGCTGGAACAAACTGATGGTGGGGGAGGCATTTTGCTGAGCAAATCCAAATCATTTACCAGTAAATGTGTGAGTGTGAATAAAATACATGCTCTTTTTCAGCCTACTTAAGTGTTGCAGTTTAGCATTTTATGATGGCCTATAATCATATTTTACTTTTTGGAAAACTGTCTGCTCAACTGTAAAGACAGGGGGCAAAAAGATATTGTTATAGTGCTAATTTCACATAGTCATTTATATCGTTATTGCAAACATAGAGTTGAATATCATGATAGAGATTTTGTCTACATCGCCCGGTCCTAATACATAGATAGATGCCACACATTCTTGTCAGTGACCTCTGACTGCTGTGAGTGCATGTGTGTTTGGTTCCTGAACATTTCCACTATCAACAGCAGCTGCCGGTCACACCAGGGTGTCAAGCAACTGCTGGTAATCACACATTCACAAATCAATACTGTTTGCCCCCCTCCCCCAACACAACGCTAAAACAGGACAGGGAAAAGTGCACTCACACACATTGTTGTGTCTGTAAAATTGCTTTAATCCATCATGGACATGAGGTACAATGCTGCTGCAGTGTGTGTGTGTGTGTGTGTGTGTGTGTGTGTGTGTGTGTGTGTCCATGTTATCAAGTCAGAGCTATCATGCCAGAACATGTGTGTAGTCACCTCTAATGTAAAGCCCTCAACGTCTTGTGTCTGTGTTTATAAACTTTAGATGGTGTTACATGTATGTAGCTGTACGATGTTCTTTTAATAGCAGTACTTTAAAACGTAAAATTAACACGACTAGCAAAGCGCAATTCATTACAGCCTCTGATTATTAAAGCGCTGTCAGTGAAATATAAGCAGATAGAGATAAACAAACACTAACATGTCCTCCTGTGCTCAGTATCCTGCCCCTGCATCCTCCCAGTTCTCTACTCACCGATACGAGGTCTGTTTTCTGAACGCCAGTCCTCTTAATTTCTCCTCCAGCGTGTCTTGCTCCATCTCGGGCAGACTGCTGAACGTGTCACTGCAGCAGCCCACTGATCCAGCTCCGGACTCCGAGTCGCCTCCGTCGACACCGAGGGAAGCCAGGCGTCCACTGAGGCCCCCCGCCGCAGGGCCGGTGCGATCCTTCGTTTGGGGGTCCATGCTGGTCATGTCCTCGCTGTCTCGCCCCGCGCTGGACCCCCTCTCCTCCGGCTTATGGGGGGTCACCGATACCGGTGGTTGAGAGGAGAGGTGAAAGGTATGGTGGAGTAAACAACACACCGCTGACGATTTGAACTGGTGTAATGATTCTTCTTCTTCCTCTTCCTCTTCTTCTGAAGTTTATTGGCGGGGGGGCGCGGCTGTAATTTCTGTCCGATACCTTCTTTTATATAGCGCACCCAGGTACG